ACAGATATAAATTAAAGCGATATGACAGGACACTGCTTTTGATAATTTCAAATAGTTAAATTCCAAAGTACTCTTCAATAAATTTCTTCCAGTTTTGAGTACACAGTTAACATAAATCTTTTAAAAGCGTATTATAGATTTAATATATTTTTAATTTCATTTGGAATATGAGGGTCCACGAAAATAATATTAGTATCAATATAGGAGAACTCAGCAATATGACCTTAAAGTAGATAAAATAAGAATTTAATAAAGATCATACAAAACTCATAATTGAACAGCATTTTAGCGTGATAATCAACGATTTTCAGAAATAATTTTGTTATAGTAGTTGGATTCAGTAGAGAGCTCAGTACTGTTTATCTGAGGATCATCTTCATTTCGTTCGAATACTGTAGTCAAAAAACGTCCGTAAGTCCGGCGAATATGCCCCGACCAAGAAATCATTTAAATGTATAGAGTGGAGCGAAATGAAAATGCTCGTCAAATTTACTCCATAGATTGGCCGGGGATATTTATAACGAATGTAGATTTAAAATAATCCCAGTAGTAAACAGTTGTATACCTCAATTGTGTTATTCGTTGGTACCCGTAGGAAATTCATTTCGTCATTCCAATCATCCAATCGCCTTGCATCAGGGGCAAAGAGAGGCAGGGTAAAATTTATATCATTTGTTATATACCAATTTGGGTAAGTGGTATTTGTATCCATATAAAGCGCACTACCATTGACAGTATTGGGCCCAGCAGAAACATCCGCAGCACCAGAAAAGTAGTAATACATTAGAGAAGGTAGCAAAGGAGGTGCATCAACAGTTTTAGTCAGACGTTGCAAAATATAACTATAATAAAATGCTCTGTTTAGTGCTAAAGTATGCAGATGAAGCAACTTGGATCTGTTTGTAAACCATTGTTGAAGAGGAATCTCATTATATTTTGGAATTTGGCTCAGAGTAGAGGGTGGAAGACGAAGATCCGTCTCCGGCATAAAATAGCAATTTTGGGGATTAACTTTATCCATTTTAGCCATGATATGATCAAAGTTGTCTTGTTTGTACCAACTGAACGGGTCACCTGCACGTCCAAAATGAGAAATCAAGAAAGATAAAGCAATTGTTGCAACAATGTAATAAAATGAGTTTCGAACTCTGCATATTATCGTGATAGATCTTCCGTTGTAAGTCATCTAAAAATGAATAAAAAGCAATATTTGTGCAGAAAATAAATAAACTAACTCGTCACTATAAAATAAAAACAAATATTAAGAATCACCAAAAGGTTGATGATTTTACAGTCTAAGAAAAATTGATGAGATCGCTAAAACTTATATGATCATGAGCGAAAAATGATCAAATGTAGCAAATGTACTATGGGAAACACTGCAAAGTCTAATTAAATCAGATTAGATTAAGAAATAGAAACAAAATAAATATAAAGACACAAAATCCAAAAAACCATTTAAAT